AACCCAGGCAAGGAAAGTCTGTGAGACTCTTATCTCCCTTCAATTAACCACTGGAAAACCAGAAATGGCATCATGGCTCAAGTGGTAGAGTGCTTGCCTTGAGCTGAAGAGCTCAGGGACATCATTCAGGCCCAGAGTTGAAGCCCCACAACTGACCCAAAAAAAAAAAAAAAAATTAGCTAGACTACATACTTGTAATTCCAGCACTTGAGAGAGCTGAGGCAGAAAGACCCTAAGTTTGGGACCAGCTCCGCTATGTAGCAATTTGGAGGCCCCCACAGCTATATAACAAGACCCTCCTAAAAAAAAAAAAGAAAAAAAAGACGATGCAATGCCAGACATAGTGGTGCAGTTACTCAAGTGGCTGAGTGAGGCTGAAGGATTCAATCTGATGCCAGCCTGGGCAACTTGGTGATATGTTCTCCCCAAAAGAAAAGACAGTGATGAAGCTTAGTGGTAGAGCAATCCCCTAGCATGTACGAGCTATGGATTAAATTTCTAGTACTGCAAAAAGAAAAAAGAGGACCCTCTGAAGTTAAACCTCAATGTTTTAAAAAAGACTGGGCAACATCCAGGCTTTGAAGATTAAGGCCCATGAAATCATTTGGTACACAATAGAACAGACACGTTTCTTTTTTTTTTTTTTTGGTTGGTTGTGGGGCCTGAAAGCTGGGCCTGGGCACTGTCCCTCAGCTCTTCAGCTGAAGGCTAGCACTATACCACTTGAGCGTTAGCCCCACTTCCGACTTTTTCTGCTTATGTGGTGCTGAGGAATCGAACCCAGGGCCTCATGCATGTAAGGCTAGCATTCCACCACTGAACCACCTTCCCAGCCCCTTGTGTGTGTGCCTTAAACTAAGGGGCTCTTGCTCACACTAGGCTTTTTCCATTCAAAGTTGGTGCTCTACCATTTGAGTTGTAACTCCAATTCTGGCTTTTTGTTGGTCAATTGGACAAGAATCTCATGAACTTTTCTGCCCAGGCTATCTCTGAATTGTGATCCTCAGATCTCAGCCTCTTGAATAGCCAGTACTACAGCCGGTAGCCACCAGTGCCTGGCTCACATATGCTTCTTGGCTACAAACAGTTCAACTCCCTATATTTATCACTTTTAATGGCCTGTAATAGTGTTATAAAAGATTCTTGACCCTATTTTAAAGGTTTAAGCTCTAGGAAGTAGAGATATGGATGTTGGTAAAGCTTGGAAATAAGTAAAATGTATTTCATGCCAGGAATTGGTGGCTCATGCATGTAATCCTAACTACTCAGGAGGCTGAGATCTGAAGACTGAGGTTCAAAGTCAGCCTGAGCAAAATCTGTGAAAATCTATCAGGCTCTTTTTTTTTTTGAGGGGAGGGGGCTAATTATGGGGCCTGAACTCTGGGCCTGGGCGCTGTCCCTCAGCTCTTCAGCTCAAGGCTAGTACTCTACCACTTAAACCACAGTGCCACGTCTGGCTTTTCTGCTTTATATGGTGCTGAGAGCCTCATGCATGCAAGGCAAGCACTCTACCACTGAGCTACCTTCCCAGCCCTCTATGAGACTCTTATCTCCAGTTAGCCACCATAAAATCAGAAGTGGAGCAGTGGCTCAAAATGGTAGAGCACTAGCCTTGAGCAAGAGTTCACAGACAGTGCCCAGGCCCTGAATTCAAGCCCCAAGACTGACAAAATATAAAATTCTGTTTCTTGTGGCATATATCTGTAGTCCAATCACTTGAGAGGATGAAGTTTGTGATCAATAGGGCTATTTAGTTTTGGGCTAGCTTAGGCTATAAACAACAATATCCTATCTGTAAATAAATTTAAAATATAATAACCTGTTTCAAGGGAGTTGTGTTATTCTTCCTTTGACTTTTATTCTTCTTAATGGGTTTTCTTCTTGGGGTGCTTTTTGGCTTATCTGGAGTTTCACAAATGTCACCATTCTTTAAAGCATGCTATAAAAACATGAAGAGAAACACACATTATGTAGAAATGCATTTAAACAGAAAGTAATTTTATTTACTACTACAAGTTAACCTCAAGGCCCCACTTGACTAGCACTTGAGCCACAGCCCCACTTTAGGCTTTTGTTGGTTAATTGCAGATAAGTCTTAGACTTTTCCCTCCCAGGCTGGCTTTGAACCATAATCCTCTCATCTCAGCTTCCTGGGTGAGTAGGATTACAATAATGAGCCACCAGCGCTTGGTACTATGATTTTTTGTTGTTATTCTTGTTAGTTATGGGGCTTGAACTCTGGATCTGGGTGCTATCCCTGAGCTCTTCAGCTCAAGGTAAGTGCTTTACCACTTGAGCCACAGCACCACTTCCAGGTTCCTGGTGGTTAATTGGAGATGGAAAGTCTCATGGACTTTCCTGCCCCAGCTGGCTTTGAATTGCAATCCTCAGATCTCAGCCTCCTGAGTAGTAGGATTACAGGCATGAGCCACAAGACCTGGCCTGTGATTATTTTTTGGGGGAGGGATGGGAGGATATTGTTTTATGCTCAAGCTAGGGCCTAGGAGAATCTCATTCCTCTTCTACTTGTGCTTCCCTGTGTTACTGGGTAATAACCACATGCACCACTGGACCCAGCCATTTGTATACTTCGCCTGTATTTGGGATATCAGATGGTAGCCATTGTGCCCAGTGATTGGTTGAGGTAAGGTTTCGTGAATATTTTGGCCCAGGCCAGTAACCCCCATCTGTTTCTCTCCCAAGTAGCTAGGATTATAGGTTTAAGGTGCTGTGCTTGCCCGGATTGACAGAAACCGAGACCCTACTTTACATTTTGCATCAAAATAGGATGACAGATGTGTGTCACTATGTCCAATCATTCATTGCAATAGGATCTGAGAATCTTTTTTTGCCTAGGTTGGTCTGAAGCTATGATTCCTCCATCTCTGCCTCCCAAATAGTTTGGATCACAGATGTGGAGATAATGTGCCCAACTACCTCTTCCTTCTTGATATTGTGGAAGTGTAGATGCACAGCAACATAATGCCCTAATGCTTTTGTTACCTCTCTGACCAAGTCTTACAGTTAGCATTCTAAAAGAGTTGATCATCTTGACCTGCTAAAGGCCTTCTATTATTATTTCTTCAATTATAACCTCTACAAAAACATTTCCAAAGCTATATTCCAGCTCTGAAATTTCTCCTCAGTTGATTCAACATTTCCAAATCAGCATTCCTAATTCACATCTGAACTCAGGGCCTCACACTGGCTATGCAAGTGTTCCACCCATCATTTGAGCAATGTCCCCAATATTTTTGCTTTTAGTCTTTTTTCAGTTAGGGTCTCTTGTTTCTGCCTCGACTAGCCTTGGACTATGATCTTCCAGTCTCCCTCTTCAGGTAGGTGGGATTTTATGGCATTCTACCTGACCTCTTAATTCACATTTTCACCCTCAAATTCAAGACAATTAAAATTAAACCATCTTTCCTAAAAACCAGTTCTTTCCCACCTTAACTCTGATTTCATCTCTTCTAGGTATCTCTAATCCTA